AAGAATTATATAATACATATAATAATATAATAAGACGATACATAATGCAGTTTTTATCGCATAAAGCTGGCTAACTGGCGGTCCACGAACCCTTGTCCACACTTTTCTGATTGCTAGCATTACCCCCTCCACTGCATCAATCTCTCCAAAAAAAGTGGAGGGGATAATGTTAGCGATCAAGAAAGTGGGGGCAAGAGTACGTGGGCCGTCAGTTCTGTATAGGGTGGGCCAAAAATCACTTCCACTGAATTAAAATAAATCCGTAATTTTCTTTCGACGTTCGAAGGAAATAATTTTCAAAACACAAGTGGGAAAGTCATGTTTAAGCTCAAATTGAATTCAAAAATTAACGAAATTAATATTTTCTTATATTTTGATGTTTTGTTAAAAAAGAAACAAAAAAAAAAAGTGGGTGGAAGAAATCTTTGGCCCATCCTACATTTAATTATATCGTATGTACTACGTATTTCGTTTAACTTTGTTGTATATGTGCATTGTAATATATATGCAATACATACGCTCGTTTTCGTTCGCCAAGCGAGCATGAGTGAGTGAGTCAAGATAAAAGGCGCGGCTTATTTCGGACTACATAGTTACACTTCGCCTGAAATAAAACAGTGCTTGGCTTGCCCTTTGCGTTCCGGCACTGTGTTCCATCGTAGGCGACGGCCCATTTTTAAAACAACAAAACACATTGCCAACGTTAATCTAAATCTATGCGAACGCGGCGATATTTCGCGGAATGCGTTCGCTGCCGAAATGCACTTCGCCATCCCGTCTCGGTTGACAGCGGTATAAATAGACGTGCGATGTTACTTTCTCTCAGTCATTTGAAATCCTTGAACCATCCGTAAGAGGCAAATTTTACAATTTTCCGCTGTAGACGGAGAGCATAAAGCTGGCGCAAAGCTTTCTGCTATGCGATACAAGTCATTTTTTCCGACAGCAAGAATCCAAACTCGCTTATTTCTCTTTTCTCTTTACACAAGATCTATTATATATATATATGGATTTAAGATTATATATGATTATATATGGATATATATATGTATATATGGATATATATATAGATATATATATATGGATATATATAGATTATATATGATTATATATGGATATAT